CTTTCCCTAAATACCGAATTAGATCTTTTTATGAAAACAGGTGCTCTAATGAATATTTTCTATTCAAAATTAAGTCCTTTAATACCAACCCAAATCCAATTTATTCTATGCAAGTTTGCAATGCTTCAGTAAAATACTTCCAAATAGGGAACCACTATCTATCAGGCATTGCTCATCATATACAGATTTATTTATTTAAAGATGGTACTTTTGGACTGCTTGGTAGTTCAGTCTATTATTAATTAAAACAATACTTAATGTAATTGCTGTCAGCTTTCACTTTGACTACTTCAATAATGAAAAACTATTAGATACAATATCCTCCTCAGTTGGGTTATAAATATTACATACACTAATTGATTTACTATTACTCATTTTTGCAACAAAATCCATTTTCTCCTTTGTTCATGTAATTTCAGAGATGCTCATGAGATGTCAATCTTATTTATCTGCTTAATTTATTTACCCACTTCTTTATCAGGCTAGTAGAGAAGTTCTACTTCTATACCCTTCTAATCTAGTGATCTATGATGCCCACCGCCTCTCAAAATTGAAGAAATTTCTTGTTGTGAAATAAGCTTCCAAATACATTGCCGGAAAATGTTACCTTTTTGAAGGGCAGCTAGGCAACATAAAACCATACATCACTAGCCCAGAAAAGAGTGACTACTTTCAAGTCCATTTCTCAGCCTATTTCTATTAGCTTCACCATTTGATAGTAATCCTTTCCCATGTGTACCCACCTAGATCTATAACCAGTATTATCAGCTGACATGAGGCTGCCTTCCCAACTATAAGAAGCCTCAATCACACATTCTTAGGGACTAGTGCATTTTCTTTTACTCCTTAAAAAATTTACATCTGTTTTAAATATTAAGGTTCACAAATACTACTACTATGATCTTTTGAAAACTCTTAATGGTCCCAACTTAAAAACTGGAAGTGTTCCCCAGCAGTGTCACTGCACGCACGTTATGCAATGGCATCGCGTACACTGCAATTGTACCATATAAGAAACCAGCCCAATCCTCTTCGCTGCTACCATTAAGATCCCAGCTGAAACATACTTGAGTTGCAGCTGAATAAATTCAGCGGTTTTATTAAGATTACAGATGGAGAGATGGATCTGACCTCCACTTCCTTCTTCAAATTTTCTGGCTGCATTAAGACCTCCATCCCCCTCCACATATACATCCTACCACTGGATGGAATCCAGGTAATTTGATGTGACACACTTTAATTTACTGGTACACAATCGACTGTTTTCAGCTTGTCTCTGATAAATCAATGCTTCAAAACCAATGTTTTTAAGAACTATTGTATAGGACATTTTCCTTCAGTTTTTAAATCCAGTTTTTCTTGCATACATTATTTCCCAGGTCTGACATTAATGCTTTAAATTGGCTGCAACTGTCTCATCCTAAGCATGTGTGGTGTTCTCAAGAGCTGTTTTGAAATCGCTGTAATGTCTACACATCAATGCTTGTTTGCTGTTTTAACTGAGTGGGCAGAAATGATTCCCAACATAAGCTGGGAAGTTAATGTACCCCACTTATCTTGGCCATTCCTAATAATTATATTAGTTATTCCTACCATAACTTCTCAGTGCTTGGAGAACTTGCTTTTCTTTCTAGGTTATTAGTTCTTTTATTCTCTCCCCCCTCCTGTCTTCTCTGTTACCAACCTTACCCCTTTTTAGGGTAGAACATGTTAACTTCAAACCAGTCATCTACTTGCTTTTTCTTTTAATCTTGTATTCTGTTCTGCCTGCCTGCAGCTTTTTCTGAACTAGTGAGCCACAGGCAGAGGAAGAAACCCCTTGATACTCTCAGAAGCACCATTGCTTACGCTTGCTGGAGAGGGGCAAAAAGAGGCACAGGCCTCCCTCCACCCCCTTGACTATAGCACTGCCCTTGCCGACACTCTCTCCACCTCCTATCGCAACATCAGTGAGTGCAGGAAAAGCACAACTCCAAGAACCAGAAGGGAAAAACCTCAGGCAATCTGATTTTCCAGTTTGCTGAAGGTGAGAAAGCAGCCTTGGCTGTACTGTTCTGTTAGAGGAGTACAATTCAAGTCGTTACCCTTTTTTACTGGAAGGCAGAAGGCAAGGCACCCATGGGATTCTGTTGTTGTTTCCAGCAAAAGAGAAAAAATGTTTCATTACGTTAAGTTCCAGAGACGGGCAGAAGAAGGTGAAATGGCTCCTAGGCTGCAGCACCCTCACTGACAATGGTGGTCTGCTGGAGAAGTCACTTTTTTCACTTTTTCTCAGCTTCTTGGTGAATTGAGTGAGCAAGTATGTGTGTGTGTATACTCATATACACACACAGCATGGTGTTTAATGAGCAAGTTCAGGGTAGAAAAGACAGTGGCAACTCCTTTTCTAACAGTTATTTCCATTTAAAATTAGTGACAACATACCTCTTGAACATACGCTATACGGATAATCTTAAGTTTTTCAGTTATATATGACAGAAGAGTCTGGCTAAACTATTTTTTAAATTTCTACGAGCTAAGGTCCAAGTTATAAGTAAAGTTTTTAAGAAAAAACCCTAACGTTTTCAATTTGTTTAGTTGCAGCAGTTGTTTTTATACCAATTACTTAGCTTTTTTAAAAACTAATGCAGAACAGAAAGTTAATTTTAATTTTTTATGATCTAGATGGGAGTACAGCTTGTGATAACAGTGCTTCTGAAAATTCCGCCCAGGATACTTTAAAGGTGCTCATCACCTTCAATCTTACTAAACATTTGCTTTCCTGCCCTCTAGTGTTCACCCTATACAACTCTGGTTTTGGAAACATACACCATATCAGTGGCCCTACTGAATTAAAATTATTTACTTATTGCGATATTACAAGTGATCGAAGCAGTCCTTTTGTTGTTGCTCATGTATGTATCACACAGCTACCTATGCAGTTATCTGAAAAGTAAGACTTTTCAGGTTACTTTTCATTTTGCAAAACCAATACAAGGCAGTTTTCCTTTTCAGTTTTGGACCATATTATGGAGTTTTAAATGCATAAACTGAAGCTTACTTCTAGATTTATTATTAAAACATTTTCACTGGTAGCTAAAGCTGTTAGTTAGCTGTATACCAAACTACAAGTTTCCACAGTATTTACAGTTTTTCATCCACATGAAAAGCTTTTCTATTTAATGCAATTAATTTTGCCTCTAATTATGTAGTTTTAGTATTGTGCATGCTTACGTTTAAAACAATGCGTTGACATACTATGTCTGTAATTACTCTCATGCTACCAGAAAACCAGTGAATTAAATTTATTTAGTGTTAAATGGATATGGAATGTTATACAGTACATGTAAAGACACTTCAAGATGAGTAAAGCAGAACTAATTGCACAAGAGATTAAAGGTTCACCTCAATAGTCAGTATTATCAAATCATTACAGCTTCCATCTTCAGAGTGCAAGGTATGTCATGCAAAAAAACAAACAAAAAAAAAACCAAAAAACCAAACCAGCTCAAAAAATCCCCAAACAGACAAAACCAACATTGTGGTACCAATTAAAATGCTATCATACCACAATATTTTACAAGACATTAAGTGATCATTCATAGAGAATGAAGCATTTTAGCAATAACAAAAGTTTTAAACATACTTAACAGATTTTGCATGAACACCAATTCCAGCATTACTATACCTAAGGAACAGGCAACATGCTGGGAAAAAGTACCTAAAAATCAAAGCCTTTTTTATTCATAGCCAATATTACTTTCTGCAAGAGTTATGCAATCTTATTATTCAGATTTCCCACATAACTGGGTAAGGTTCAATACATTTTTACATAGAGCATAATCACAACCACCACATCAGCAAGACAATTTCATTATCTTGACCAGTTACTACATTGAAAACCATGGTATGATAACATGCCCTGCAAACAATTGTCTTCTGGGACAGTATCCTGTATGTAGAAATATAAAACAACTAAAATATACTCCTAACCACTTTAACCCCAAATGAACTATAATTTGTATTTACATATTTTTGAAATATGTAGGTAAAAACTGCAGATGGAAGAGAAGCAGAATACACACAAGAGAGCATCAATAGAGCCGACTGAACTGATTGGTGCATTCAGGAGCCCTGAATGAGACCTGAACAGGGGGTTGTACCTTTTGTACTCTTCCTCCAGCCAAGCCGTCTTATCAGGGCTACCGAAGGCAGCTGCTGCGGTGGAAGCGCTGCTCATCCTGCTTACACACTCCTCGCCACGCCGGCTGAGCACAAGGAGCAGAACCTTGAACCTTGACCGGTTCCACTCAGCCAAAAGCACTGCAGATAAGCACGCTTCTATGCACCTGCTTCAACTATAGCTTGAATGTTAACATGGAAGAAACACAGGAGATGACAGGATGGTTTTCAACATATCCACCTCGCAATACCCATATCCTGAGGGCACCAACAGGTAGATTAACTTACCAAAATAAGCATACAAAAAAGGCCAAGTTGTTTGCCCTCATATTAGGAATAAACTATTTAACTTCCTGGCTTAAATGTAAGCAAGAGGAACTCAAGAAAGACCTCCTTGAGGTTAATTTCCCAACTACATTCAAAGAAAATAATTTACTAAAACTGTAACTTGCAAGGTCTACTAGCCTTGAGGTGAGGATACAGGTTAACTATACCTATAGTTAAATAAAAAACTTCAGAAGACATTTTACAGAAATAAAATATGCAACTCTAGGAAATAGGTGGAAAAACACTGTAGTATTCAGCTGGAATATTCTATTTTCATAGCCCATCATTCTCAGGAATGTATATTTCATAAATAAAAATACAGAACAAAAATTTGCATATTCACTCTAAAGTTGAATATTTCTAAACCTCTTCAGATAAAATTTGCTTTCTTCCTCACAAATAAGTGATAAACCCTGAAAAAAATCGGCTTTTCAAATCTATCATGCATGAGAAAACACAGATGAACAAACCAACATCTGGAAAAAACATTTTGTACAAGGTTGCATTCTAAAACACTTATATTACAGAGCAATGTAAATAAATACCAGGCTAGTACAAAAGCTCTTATTTACAGTTTTACAAATGAAAACGTTTTCAGTGTAAATGCAGTGTTTTAAAGAACACTATATTAGTAAAATGAGTTCCTGTATAGAGCATTACAATTTCTGCTAAATTTCAATGCAGTATTGTATAAAACCATTGTTTCAAGTTAATTTTTGTTTATAATTTAGTACAGCCAAACCCCAGTTTATGCCTGGAATGGTATCTGTTAAAGTGCTGAAAAAGAGGACATGTCTGAAATTTTAGAAAAACATACTGTACATTATTAAAGCTTTATCAAGTCAAAAATGGTATATTTTGTTCACATTTGCTACCACACCACCTGTGGATGGAAGTTTTTCAACAACTTGTTGTAATTAACAGGATGGCAGCCACTGGTATCTTCGCATCCAAAGTCTGACGGTTTCCCACAAGTAATTTGTCTTAAGCTTCAGTGGTGGCTTCAGGTTTCATAATCTGATAAGTAATCAAGTATTCTGGATAAGCCTGAAAGATGACACACACATTCTTTATTATGATTTCATTTTTTGGATAAATTCAGAATGTTTGCTGGAGAGGGGAAGAAGTATTTATGCCAAAGAAAAAAAAGGCAAAATGTCAAATGTAAAATGCCTGGAGCATTCAGGAAACGATCCTTTTGCCTGCAACCACAGCTGGAGTTTATGTTAAGACAAAAGCAAGTCCTAGCACCTCGAAAGTAAGAAAAGCCCCCAACACATTACATGCCTTTAGGGGGAAGAAAAAAAAAAAGTCTGAAAACCCAAAAAGCTATTTACCTGCTCCCCTCTGTAAATGACATATTCTGCCAATGCCAATCCATTTACACTGGGTCGCCCAGTAACTGAGTGATGTCCTGGGGGAGAATGAGCCATCTTCATAGCACTGAACTGCAGGAAAGACTTGCCCAGTGTTACACGACAAAACAGCAATTGCCTGTATTAAAAGGGAAAAAGGACCACAAACATAAACATGCTTGTGAAGCTCCAGAAAGTCTATCTTCTGGAACAGTTAACTTTAAAGCCACTTTAGTCACTCTTTGTAGTTCACAAAGTTCTGAAGTTCTGTTTTGAAGGACAAAAGTTACGCTCCTTTTGGAAAAGCACTTTACCCTGAGCAAAGGGTTGGTAATAACATTGAAAAAATTTCATCTTAATTACTGGAAACAGCATGCTTAACAGTGTACTCAAAGATTGTCACCACCTTTTTGTGGGGTTTTTTTAGGGTTTTTTTTGTATTTTTTTTTTAAATCTGTTTGTTTTTTTAAAAAGTTTTCTGGGGGTGCCCCTCATCGCTCATTCTAACAACATAACTCACTTGTGTTCTAACACTAGATTTGTATCTAACAGCCAAATCAACGTCAAGGCCAAGTGCAAACTCTAGGTCAGCATGAAATACCTCATACTAGCATTTGTCAGTATGTTCTGTTGTTTTTGTTATAAAAAGACAGAACAAGGGTACTTATTTCTTTACATATGTACTACTGCAACAGCAATGGAATCTCAGCATTTTTGTAGACCAATGTTACGTACCATTTTGCTCAGCCAAAAAATTGCTTTTCTAACTCTTTACACAAAACAAATTAAAAACCCCCTTATTTTAGTGTGTGAAGCAGCAGTGACATGAGGGCTGTTACAAAGTATGTCCTTGTCAAAGAAATATAGCATCTGAATATCACTGAATTTCTCCTTTTTCTGTAACAGGCAATGGACTAAACCCTCACATTGCTGCACCCTTCACACAAGCATCTAAAAGATCCTCTTTGCTCTCTGGCCACCTAGATCTGATTTTTACAATAAGTTAAGGGCAAAGGTTTGGTTAAATGTTCTTTAAGTCTTAAATATCAAAGTTTTCTGAAAGTCTCTATTAGGCCCAGCATATAGAGAGTGCTCAGAAGGTTTGGTTACCAAGCAAAACTTTCTTCAGAACTTGAAGGTCTATAACACAATATACAAAGGCAAAATCAGATTCTTTTCAATGGCTTACCTGTGGCAAACATAACAAGATCTGTCTTTGTGAATTGGACATCCAGTGCCACCTCCAATTCCATACACGTACTGATTGCTTTTGGAAGAATTTTCAGCAAAATAAATCCCAGCTCCAAACATACCGCCTATATAGGCATGTCTCTCATCAAAGCCTTTGTGAATAATTGCATTCACAAATGGGGAGCCTAAGACAAAGGAAGTAAACCATTGAGAATACAGTACACAGATTTTTGTATGTGTCACAATTCAAACATCCATTCTAAACTTTTTGTGCAGTTTTTCCTATATATACAAGAAGATCAATCTCCAGAAATTCTGACCTCAGATTTACACAGTCAATTTGCTAGAGGTGTTACACAAATGACAGTAGCTGGTAAGTGTACGTTTTTAACAAAGATTTAAAAAGGATAACATCTGAGACAACTCTTGTTGCAAGAGAAGGCTCTATTAATCTGCACTCCTTTTGACAGAGCTTCATTCTAACCAAGACTCATTGAATGCACAATGGGATGGACACAAATCCTGTCTTCTTCCAAACACTAAGCAGATTACATTTGAAAGGCAATAAAGGTAAGCTGGTATTTATTTATTTGCAATGGTCATAAAATTTTGGTTTAAAGAATACTCTGTTCAAAATGGTTAGATTCTGCATCTCAAGACACCTGATATCCATTAATGTTCACAAAAAGTGCAGGGCTTTTTGGTAAGGATTTTTATAACAGTATATATAAATATGAAAGCACTTTCAGAGAAAAGCTGTTCTCTTAGAACATGGCATTTCACAGTTATGTTGGGAATTATAGTGAAAATAATACAAAGTGTTTTCCTCCAGCCTAAAGATGATAAAACCGTATATGAAGTAGAAGAACATTCCAGATGAGAACAAGAAAAACCTATGACAACTGCTCATCATCTTCTGCATGTGATGTACATGGTTAAAGACATATGGTAATGCTTTAAAAATATATATAAAGATTTAAAAACAAACCCCAAACCGCTCATAAGGCATTAATTGCTTTGTTCCAGATATAAATTTGTTATTAGCTAACTAATTTAAATGACTTTCCTTTAAAGAGAGGTCACCCCATTAAAAGGCCATTTCCTCTTACAGGGGTACAGATCATAGTCAAAAGACAGGATTTAGATATCTACAAGTTTGCGCAAGCAGTTAATTATTCTGTTATTGCTGCTTCCAACAGTAATATATTATGTTGGGAACTATGTAGCTTTCATTGTAAGGATGTACCACAAACTTGCCTAATTTGACCGTCAGGACAAACTATGTATTTGTGCACAGGGGCGCTTTCAGTAAGCTTTAATTTGCTAGTTACAAGCTATCTCTTCTTGAATGATGAAAAAGAACTAATGTATCAAGTCATAACAACAAGAAAACAAAAAAATCCCACCCCAAACCCCAAAACAACCCATAGCAGAATGAAGTTTGACCCTTAATCATTTTGGTGATACAGCAAATTAAACAGAATTAGTAACTTAAGGAGGAGGCACACCCCTTAATCTCCATTCATAATTGCTAAAATGTTTTCACTTAGAACTTTGAAGTCTCCTTTAGGAGAGACAAGGAGATGCAAATTTCAGAAGATGCAGTGCGTTATATGTCCCCATTGTGACATATACAAACGCTTGTTCATATAAAACTCATGCAAAACCTAGAACCTATTTCCATAGAGAAAATTTACTTTGAGCCAGCAGAAACCCTTCAACAAAGAGCACTGACGGTGAAACCAGTTCCTAAGGTGCATTTAAATATCTCACCATGAAACAGCATCCTTTCATTAGCATGGTTATGATTCTCTTCAGAGACCTCTTTCCTCCTGTGAGTGTATCTTTCCCATAGTTTTTTGTTGCACACTTTCTGAATCTGAAACAGTCAAAATATGAGTTCCACCCTGAAACTGAAAACTTGTTTGCTTGACAGATGTTTAACCGATAGTAGCTATACCACAGTACACTTACACTACCACTTTAACAAGAATACTTCCTTAGAACTCAATGGAACACAAATTCTCTAACTTGTCCTGCAGAAGTTGATTGTTGTAGCATAATTTAAGTAAATCATAATTATATGCTTAGTTAAGAATCAATTTCAAACATCTGTTGCACAATACTTAATTTAAATTTAGCAGGCTTAGTCACAATTCTACTTGAGTATCATTTCAAACACTGTTTGATGCCAAACCACTAGTAAAAAGATCATCTAGTAAATTAAGAAATATCTTCCATGAAGACTTCTAGAGCACTTTTGAAAGAAAGTAAATAAACAATGTACTCTCTGCAGAGGTATGCTGGACACTGGCAAAGCCTTCTGTGTGTAGATAAGGCAATTCTACTGGTGAAACCGTAACATCAGTTCAGAATAATGCTTAGTAATACATACTTGCAAATCAAAATCTCTACCATTTTAATGAAAATGACCATTTCTTCATGAGATTAAAAAAAAAAAAAAAAAAGAGAATGCAACCCAAAAAACCACTGAATTATTTAAAGCAAGGGTGTCTACTGTTTTTTTTAAGCTTGTTTGCCATTAAATCAAGCCAAAATAGGTACCATTACTTCCATGCTTCAAGAGTTTTGCTTTTACTTCTTGCTCTTTTTCCCCCTGCCATTCCCTCAAAAGAAACCTTTTGTTGTTTCCCATAAAACCTTCTGCCTCTTTCTTCAAACATCCTGCAGTTTTCTGTGAGGTCTTTCCAAGTCAATTTCTCATAAAATTTCTTAATGACTATTAACCCATAAGCAGTTTTTCCATATAATCTTATTCTTCGAATTTCCCTGGAAGATGATCTTTTTCCTGTGCGTGTCTCAGAGCAGTACATCTTATCACATTATGGAACTCAACAAACAAATGTAGAACATTTTATGGACGCTTTATTTTCAGCCAAAACTCGAAAGGTGTAAGCATTGACCACAAAAATGCAACAGCTACCTTTAAGATGTTGTATCTGTTGAAGATTCCGCCAGCATGCCCTCCATCTCTATGCTCTCGGACAGTACTCTGCATCTGAAGATGGAGAATTTTAAGAAGGATCACTTTGTTTCAGAACACATTCAAAACACATATCCTTCACACAGTCAAATAATGAAAAGAACTAATTCTGTCTTAAAAAAAATTAAAAAATCATACCAGAAATTCTTAGGCAATGACTACATGTTAAGTAACACCAGATTTTGTAGATGCACGTGAACGGTTTAAGGTTTTTTTTAAAAAAAAAAAAACAAACAAAAACACGTATCTTGAACAGTCCATAGTCTAGTTTTCAAATTGAAAAAGTTTGTCACTAATCTATTTAGAATGTTGTTTCTTCAGAATTTTTGTGTGATTACAACGCTTTGGAAGGAAGTGACTTAAAACTGTACAACACACAGGCAATTGGTAGCATAGAATTTATATGTTATATCAAAGAGCTTTTCTATACAGTAGAATTTTTAAAAATACTACAAGGAATAATAAGTAAGAAAAAAAAAGCATGGACGTCACAAGCACAGATGATAAGTGGTGCAAAGTCGAAAATTTGAAGTATCCTTATGCAAGTTTTTCTTAGGCTGAGAGATGTTTATTGCACTGTTAAATTGTCTAGCAACACTTCTTTAGTAGAACTGACAAAAATATTGAAAGATTACAAAGAAAGGCATACCTCTTCTTCCACTGATTGAAATTCCTTATCTTCAGTGGAAAGATCTATGAGAATAGTTCCGCTTCCAGAAGTATTCAGAGTCAGGTATGGGTTAAGTCCTGTGAATATAACAAAACGCAAGAACAGTTTCAGAAACTGCTTTAAGACTGCTGATTTGGAATGATAACCAGTAAAAGATTTTTCTTTTTAAAAGGACCATTTTCTCAAAACTCAGTTTACAAGATGAAGAGGTTAGCTGCCAAGGAAGGCAGAGATTACAATTACTTGAATTGCCTTCCATCACTCACACACATTTTTTGTGGATGTCAAAGTGTGATCCCTGAAATAATTTAATTAGTTTCAAACAAACTGTTTCAGCATCTCTGTTTATAACCTCTACCCATACATTACCATGTATATACTATAAATGCCATCAGAAGCACAACAGCTGTGTCTGGATGCAGATCAATGGCAATCATTTTCAGTGATCTGTGAATACTGATCAATTATTCAAGAACAACAAACATTTCAGGCACACTAACCCATTTGTCTGTGCTTAGCTCAGTATGTTAATGTACATGACAGGGCAACTATATGTAAGCAGTTGCTCATGTAAGAGTTCATTTCAACTCTAAGCAGTGAAACAGTGAGAAACCTGTCCCTGTACAGTCCCTGACTACCAATGGCAATGGCATCATGAACAACAGAATTGACTTGAAGTGCTAACTCAGGAGGAATATTTTTCCCATGGATCACACAGGAAGAGCTGACAAAAGAACTAAGTCTGTGAACCTAAAAGGCCTGAGCCTGATATTGAATGCTTAAAAGGATACTGAATGCTTAAAGGAAACTTCTCTATTACTCCAAATATGAAAAAAAAAAATTAAAAAATTGGAATTTTATGCAGAATCCATTGTCAATTTACATACAGACTTCAATCACAACTGGCAAGTAATGACAAATTAATTACTGGACATAAGAATACGAAGACAGCATGTATGAGGTGTATTTTTGCCCACAGCCTTCCCAGACAACTAGCAGGTGACCAGAGTTAGATGCTGGGTCTGTCATAATCTCCCTAGAATGGAATAACATGGGGAAAATGGGAATTACAGATTCATCCACAGTCAAGAGCCTCAAATTAGCATTGTGCAACGGGAATAGAGTGTTCAGGAGCAAGAAGCTCTGGCAAGAAAGCACCAAAATAGAGCTCTTCCACAAAAGCCCTACTAACCTTGAAATAATGACTACATTGTGTTCAGGAAGAGATGCCAAAATAGCAATGCAAATGTATGTGAGTGCAAGAGCACAAGGGCAAGATATAGAAAACTGACAAAACAACTGAACAACAACAATCTTCTGTCCTAAACACACATTTCAGGGAGGAAAAAAAAAAAAAAAAAAGAGCTGTTGAAATATTCAGCTTAAGTATTTATGCCTGTGGTTAATGTTACAAATGAAAGTGTCAGGTCTTTGACGGCAAGACAAGATGTCTAGAAAGAATGAGGGTGGCAGTGGTGAATATTGAGATGTTTGACATTCTGTCTATATTTGTACATTATAAAAATATGTACAAATATACATATGTTCAAAAATACATCAGTCCTACTTGGAAGGCAAAACCAGTATACGATTACTGTTTGTGCAAACTTAGAACTCAAACAGGACATGAGCCTGAAATGACACCTTAAGAGTAATTTCTATCCAAAATACTCCATGAATCTGTCAAAAACCATCTGACAATTCAGATACAATTATGAAAATTTGCTTAAATACTTCATTACTAGGAAAAGAATTATCTTAAGTGTTGGTTAATACTGTTTTAAGGAGCAAAAAAATCATTTAGAGCTTGGGATAGTAACTCTCTCATTACTATGGAGTGCAGATTCTAGAATGAGAATTCACACATGGTGTCTCAAGAGGGAAAGAAATCCTACCAATTCTAACTAATTTATTCCATTTCCATGAAACGCAGCAAAACAATAGTAAGTGATGTTTCAGTGAGACAAGAAGGAAAAAAAGGTTTTGTTTTGGTTTTTTTGTCTCCCTTGCAGCCATAGCTAAATGAAATGTATTATTCCCAGGATTGTGCTAGTATCAACAGCGCTGCACAAATAAAGAGGCTTTAGCATAAACTTCAATACAAAGAAATTATGTTAATTTTGGTTCACTGGAAGCACACTGACTGTACTTTTAAAGAAAAGTATATGTAAGAATTTCAGCTGGCTTTCTGAGAGACCTAACACAGTACTCTTTTGCAGAACCCAATGGAACAGTACATAACAGGCCCTAACCGATCAATAGACAACGTGCTCTGCTCTCCAAAGTGCTCCGATGAAGATAAATACTCTCTACCTCACAAAGCTTAAAATCATTTTGCACTACCTAAGTAAACACAAAACAGTGATCATGAAAGAAAAAAAAAAAATTGGGAAACTGAAAGGCAAGATTCACAGTAATTCACAGCATAAATAAAAGTGCTCATGTTTCAAGTCAGAAGACATTCTTAGCATTTGAAGCGCAATTTTCTAGGACAACTTTTATTATCAATTCTTTTTAATGAGATACAATTTGGAATAACCTAAAGCATTTATAAAAACAGAGTCTATAAAGGCAGTGTTGCATAATAATTTGAAACAAGTATATACCTTGCTGTCCAGAAATGAGTCTTTCAACTCCTTTAATGATTTTATGCCTATGGCCATAAGCATTAATTCCAATTTCCTTCAATTCTTTGTGTCCCATTTCAACCAATACATCCAGTGTTATCTATAATGAAAGCAACACCATTTTTTTGTACAACAGCATAAACCAGACTGGAACAGCTGCCAATGACACTGAAAATATACCTCGCAATAGTTGAGATAAAAGCAAATGTGAAAAGAACATGAACATTGGAGACTTTAGTGTGTTATTCTTGTACTTTACTTTTATTCAACTGTTTTCTTTAATTTTTTGTCTCTAAATAAATATGGTACAAACTACAATCGTGTAACACTTATTGCTTGCAAGGATCATGTTTCTGATTGAGAAATACAATTTTCTAGAGGTATTCAAGCCAACAGAAATAAACCCAGAAATTACTGATCAACTGACTACTAATTTGCTCCACCATTTATACCACTGAAAGGAAACATGCCTACACTCTCAAACTGATATGGACATTCTGGCCCTCAGTCTTTTATATATTCATATATTTTAATATATATT